TATATATATATATATATACATACATACATACATACATACATACATACATACATACATACATACATACATACATACAGTTTAAGTCAGAATTATTAGACCCCTTGTTTATTTTTCCCCTTTTTCTGTGAACACATTTCTAAACATAAGTTTTTTTTTTTAAACTCATTTCTAATAACTGATTTTATCTTTGCCATGATGACAGTATATCATGTTTGACTAGATCATTTTCAAGACACTTCTATACAGCTTAAAGTGACATTTAAAGGCTTAACTAGGTTAATTAGGTCAACTAGGCAGGTTAGGGTAATTTGGCAAGTTATTGTAAAATGATGGTTTGTTCTGTAGACTATCAAAATAAATATAGCTTAAAGAGGCCAATGATTTTGACCTTTTTTTAAAAGTGATAAACAGCTTTTATTTGAGCAAAAAATAAAACCAATAAGACTTTCACTAGAATCAAAAATATTATCAGACATACTGTTAAAATGTCCTTGCTCTGTTAAACATCAGTTGGGAAATATTTAAATAAAAAAAAAGCTAAAGAATTCAAAGGGGGGGCTAATAATTCTGACTTCAACTGTGTACACACACACAGATGCACACACACACACAGATGCACATATATATATATGTGCATCTGTGTATGTGTGTATGTGTGCATCTGTGTGTGTGTACACAGTTGAAGTCAGAATTATTAGCCCCCCCTTTGAATTCTTTTGCTTTTCTTTATATATATTCTACTCATAATAGATTTAATAACTCATTTCTAACTAAAAAGATTTATTTTTATTTATTGCTTTTATTTTCTATTCTTTTCCACGATAACAGTACATATTTTACTAGATATTTTTTTTCAAGACTCAGCTTAAAGTGCATTTTAACTAGGTTAATTTGGCAAGTCATTGTATAAGATTTTTTTTTTTTGCTTATCTGGGCTAATAATTTTGATCTTAAAACGTTTTCCATAAAAACAAAAACTGCTTTTATTCTAGCCAAAATAAAACAAAAAAGGAAGAAAAAGAAGAAAATAAGAAAAGAAAAAAGTATAACTGGAAATACTATAAAAAAAACTTCTTCTTTTAAACATCAATTGAGAAATATTTTTAAAAAAATATTTATTTCAAAGAATTATTTAAAAGAAATTAAGCAATTGCTTTGCTATTGTATGCTATTTCAAATTTAATTTCTCCCGTCATTATTACTTTTATTACTATTACCAATAATAATAATAATAATAATAATAATAAAATACCAATAATAATTAATATTAGAATTATTTCTGAAGGATTATGTGACTCAGAATACTGGATTAATAAAGCTGAAAATTTCTCTTTAAATCATATAAATTATTAAATTAAATTATAAACAACTAAACACTAAACTGTTATTTTATAGTGCAATAATATTTTCATAATTTTACAATTTGTACCGTATTTATGATCAAATAAATGCAGCTTTAGTGAACAGACTTTTAAAACATTTAAAAATCCCACTGACCCCAAACTTTTGACCGATAGTGTAGATATATAAATTTTTCAAATTTCAATTAATATTAATGTATATGTCTTAAAAACATATAAATAATACTAATATATTAATATTAAAGTATGTAACATGTACCAGTGTACTATAATAGTGTACTAATGTCCACTGTATTGATTTTTATTCAGAAATCTGTTTATTTCCATATACATCTGAGCTATCCCGAAATGTACCAAGAGCTCAGGGAACAAAGTACGTTCAAAATGATGAGTATTCAACAACAAATCACAAGGTGAAGGATGCACCAAGAATTGGTTATAATCTAATCTGCTGAGCACATATGATGCCTTAAAATGATTCAAAGGCAGCTTACTAGGATTTGGAACAGATCAATAGTGATTGCTGGTGTTAATTGTGGAAGTAACACTTTTGCTCGCTCTCGATGTGGCCTGTGTTGATTGTGCTGTTTTATTTTCTGCATTTTTACTTTTATTTCAATTGCTTGTTGTTGTGCATTGTCACTGTTAAATGTTAGAGAAATCTGCAGTGATTTGTGCCGGGGAAATTGAAGGGTGGTTCAAATGTCACTACATTACCATATTAAAATAAGTTTAATTCCTGCGACAAATCCCGTCGCCTGTTAGATCACCTCCTCATAAATAGCATTAGCATATGTCCCATGGTGCAACAATTACAGTGAAAAGGCCACTTCATTGGCTCTTGTTCGCTCAGAGAGTGGCTTCAAACGACACTTTATAGTGCAATCCTGGCGAGCTGTAATTATTCCTCTTTCATACTGTCACAACCCAGCCTCGTGTACCGCTCTACACCGTTAAGCTAATATGTTATGTTCATGAAGGCAAAGGACGATTACTCCTACGCCACGCCACCTACACAGTCAACTGTATAGAGGATTTAGCTTAAAGCTCCCAGGTTGCCAGGTCTTTTCTGTAATCTTACAAAATCCACACAACCGCAGCATTACTGAGTAGACATTATAATGCCAGCGCTTTAAGGTCGTTGGCTTGGATTACAGAGGGCAAGTGTAACAGGTAAACCATTTATGGTTCATGGTATATTTTTATGCCACATTTGTATTGGCTATAAAGTGGCTTTTTGCAATTCATAAAACAGAAACTGATGCGTTGTAGGTTTTCTTTTCAGTTGGATAATTGGAACGTTGTCGCAACATAAATACGTATTTAAAAAAAGATCGCTTTGAAATCCTAAAACATAACAGCACTGAAATATTCATACTGTAGCAATGTTCTTTAAGCTGAAACAAATCAGCCGCCTGTAATAGCAATTCCTGGCTTGTGATTTAAGTAAATGTTTAGTTTAGTTTAGTGCTATTCTTCTGAAAAAGCTTCAAATGTGTAATTAGAATACTAAAATATACAGTTTAAGTGTACACTACTTGACAAAAGTATTGCTGATCCCAGCTGCAGGAGCAACAAATAATAACTTGACTTCTAGTTGATCATTTGGAAAAGTGGCAGAAGGTAGATTTCTCAGATGAATCATCTGTTGAGCTGCATCCCAATCATCACAAATACTGGAGAAGACCTATTGGAACCTGCATGGACCCAAGATTCTCTCTGAAATCAGTCAAGTTTGGTGAAGGAAAAATCATGGTTTGGGGTTACATTCAGTAAGGAGGCGTGTGAGAGATCTGCAGAGTGGATGGCAACATCAACAGCCTGAGGTATCAAGACATTTGTGCTGCCCATTACATTACAAACCACAGATGAGGGCAAATTTTTCAGCAGGATAGTGCTCCTTCTCATACTTCAGCCTCCACATCAAAGTTCCTGAAAGCAAAGGTCAAGGTGCTCCTGGATTGGCCAGCCCAGACATGAACATTATTGAGCATGTCTGGGGTAAGATGGACAAGGCATTGAAGATGAATCCAAAGAGTCTTGATGAACTCTGGGAGTCCTGCAAGAACGCTTTCTTTGCCATTCCAGATGACTTTATTATTAAGTGATTTGAGTCATTGCAGAGATGTGTGGATGCAGTCTGCAAGCTCATGGGAGTCATGCACAATATTAACTCTTTTTCCATTGCAGTATGACTTTACTGTTATGTTATATACTGTACATTATTTCTGTTAACTGACAAAACTGCAAAGACAGACCTTACTGTCCTAATTAAATAGTTAAAAATCAAGACATGATCATATTTTATTTTGGTAAAATAAGCGTAATCTAGAGACCTTTGCCTTTCATATAAGCCGTTTCAGAGACCAAATGATCAACTAGAAGTTATTATTTGTTGTTCCTAAAACCTGGATAGACGACAACTTTCGTCAGGTAGTGTACATAATGTTTATCTGATACCTAAAACTTTTGAATATACCTTTAAAAACTACCTTAACAATTCTCTTGCAATGAAAATCTCTACCTGCACATATTAAAACCACAGGGCTTTTCCCGCAAAGTCACTTAAGAGGCTCCAAACAGAAGTTTGTTCATATTTTTCTTGCAAAAGGAGTTATTTTCCACCCTTCCAATTCTTTTTTTGCACAGTACATTTAAGAATTATTTCTGAGCACTCTCCGTTATTATTGGCTAACCTCTTTGAAGGTGCATTAAGTATCAGTGCTGACTGTCGGGTGTAATATAATTGGCTCTGCCCCGTCTTTCAGTAACATCGTCTTTACAGACTCTTTGTGACAGATTCATAAAACAATCCATGCTGAAATGATCTGCTCTTGTTCCGCACGGATGCTTAAAATACCTTGTTAAAAATAAAATCTCCTTCATTTGCATAAAACCCTTTTGTTTCCAAAAAAAACCCCCTGACTTTTCATGACCTGTTTAGAAATCTTCAATCAGATATCCTGGTTTTCACCGAGAAGTGCATCAATGGCATTATCGGATTCCAGATC